TTAATTAATAAACCCATTTGAGTTGCAATTACTTATAACAGTGAATTACAAAGTGACTTTATGTAAATGGATTGATGGGAGAAAAAAGAAAGTCTTTATGTTTTGGGGAGAGTAGGTGGTATATGTGAAAATTTAATAGAGGGTAAAACCTGTTAAAGATATCAAACTGGTTCGACCATAGATTTTTTTTCACTTTATCTCCTGAAAAGACAAGATTTTGTTTCTCCTTATTAGGTTCTCTGTGTCCAAATGGTTCAGTGCCGACAACTATTTCAATATTTCCTTGGATTAACATGGTAAAATATCACACGGGGCGACTCACTGAATCTGCCTAATGATCTGATTCCCTGCCAGCTAAAAACAGCACCTGCACAAACAAAGGGGTTGTTTGAAAAAAAAAAAATGAAGGGCCTGAATCAACCAAGACGTACCTGGCTGATATTGCTAAGCTACATCAGTTTTTAGTTTATTGTTTCTAGTAAAACTGTTTATATTTCAATCATGCTCACACGGATCATTATACTGGGTCCTAAAGAAAATCAAGTGAGATAGACAGGGGAGATTCTTGTCATTGCCATAAAGTGTCATAATTATGATGAGAAGATTAAACATGTCAACAACAGGAAGTCATAAATGAACTCCAAGATGATTCTACAGAGAAAGGATCAGCCTGGGCAGAGTTCTTCATCTCAATAATTAAGGTTCTTTAGAGATTTTTCTGATAAAAGAGACCCCAGTTCAGGAACCTAAGCACATGGTTTATGCCCCATGTATTGGATTCCAAACAGCTTGATTTTAGATCTCTTCTTACACAGTCTGAAGGGGAAGGAGGTCATACCTATCTGCTTGCTGTGTGCGGAACAGCAGAGATCAGGGAGGGTGGCTGTGGTGGTTGTGAGACATAAAACGTCTTTGAATTCCTTCAAGGAGCTAATGCTGGTTAAGCTAAAATCTTCAACAGTGAGGTAAGGAGAGAAAACGATCTCACAGACACTGTACAAAGTGGAGCAGTTAATATTGCATCTGAGAAGTTTGTTTATTTTTTCTAAGCCCTAACTGCAGTCAAGAACAGTGGAGCTGGGGCTGAGGGTGTAGCTGAGGTACCAAAAATGTACCTAGTTCTTAGGTAGAATTCTGTTCATTAATGCCTTGTAAACATTATATCTCTAAAATCATGGTAAAATCATAAGCACAATATGACAAGATGGCAAAACACATTTTAGGCGATATAAAAGACACGTACTTCTACACTCGGGAACACATTTCACTTGTTAGATTTTAGTTCAATTTTACTGACGTATGTTTGATAAACTAAAATGTAAGCATGTTCTTTTAGTAAAATGTCAATGTAAACACACATTCAATTTGCTTCCAGTTTTTTCCCCATATGTTTATTGACTTTTAGTCCAGTCTCTGAGGTACTTAAAAGTTATTTCCTCCCTCCTTGAGATAGAGAGTGATCTAACTCAAGGCATGCACCTAAACATCTACCTGTTACATAAATAAATGCAACATTTATTAGAATAAAAAACAGAATGATAAAGACAACAACATAGAGTTATCTCCGTCCTTCAATCTGTACCCTGCAAGGCCTTTGGTAGATAACTCTATTTCGGAATAGAGATTCAATATGGTGTTCCTGTAATTTACTGTGGATTTGAAAATGTTTTGCTGAAATCAAAATTGATCATCTCATATAAAGATGTCTACCTCAGGCAAAAATATTCAGATAATTTCTGTTATTTGGATTACGACACCTCGTCTCCCAAAGAATCTCCCACTGCATTTTGATCACACTCATGGTAGTAAAGAAAAGAGAAAATCTTTGGAAGTGATATGACCAAACAACTAAAAATTATCAATCCTTTTCAGCTGCTGGGTGAATAGGGAGACCTGAATGCCCATATTCTCTACATTCTAATATATACGTGGTCCCAATTGCCTAGATAGTTCCAAAGTTCACTGTCTGATTTTGCTATTAATGACCAGCATTCATTCTGATTAATTGCTGTATTCACTTTAACTAGTCTCCTTACAGTTAACAGCTTTATAGAGGTGAAACTGATATATAATAGTTTACATTCAACTGTATAATTTAAAGCTTTACACATGAATACATCTGTAAATATCACCACATCAAGATCATGAGCATATCTGTCACCCTCAAAACCCTCTTTGCCTCACTTTGCAATTCCTGCCTTCCGACCCCTTGCTGATCTTCTGTCCACCACTGCACATTAGTGTGACTTTCTTAGAATGCTATATAAATGATATGCACTCCTGTTTGTCTATCCTTCCTTCAGCATATGCTTAAGTTTTTCCTTGCTATAAAATGTGTGGATGGTTTATTCTTTTGCATGGTCGAGTAATATTCCATTATTAGAATATATTAAATTTGTTTATCTATTTACCTGTTGATGGAATATTGCCTAACATTTTAGTTATTGCCTAAAATTTTAGTTAAAGCCCAGTATTGGGCTTTAAATGGATGTGCTATTATTATTACATTTTGCCTACCTATTTTTCTAAACCTAATTAGCAGTTCATCATAATGTAACTGTTTAAAGAAGTATTTCTGTTTCACAAAATGTCAACATCTCAGGATTGGCAAACTATATTGCCACACTTCAGTATGGGTCAGTATGTTAAAGCAATTGATCACCTTAGTTAGCCAACAAATGTTTGAGTGACCTGATAGTCAAATTAGGAAAAATGGCTGATCTAAGATCCTTGAGAATAAATACAGTTTTCTACTAGGTTCTGTTGCTTTTTCCTTACTTTATCTTTTGTTTCTATTTGTTTGATGAAACTTAGGTACTTTTTCCCTTTTAAATAAAATTAATTACAGACTTCTTCCTATGATTAAGAGAAAAAATGTATTTAGTTAGGGGGAAACTTTCATTTTTATTTTCTGATTTCAAGAGGTATTTTAAAAACTAAGAGTGAAAGGTTTTTTTGAAATTGGAAAAATCTGCTGACATTATTCTTTTAATTGAAGGATATAGGATTAAGATGAGACAGATTTCTAATTTAACTGGCTGGAACTACAGGAAAATGCTCATATTTCACAGGTATGCCATTATAAATGCCCAGTCGTGTGGCCCTTTTTCATGCCAAACTCCCTCTGGGGGTACCACGTGAGAAAGAATTGCAGGGTAGACCCGATTATTATAATTCACAAGACTAATTATGACTTTGAATTTTCCTGCATAAGCTAATTCTTTCTGCACCCTGGAATCAGAAGGCAGGAAAGTAGTCTCCCAAGGATTTCACAACATTTAACACCAGATATATTTATAAATAAAAGTAGAGTCATTAAATAGCACTTCAGTCTTCCTCTAGTTTCTTTGACATTTGTTCCTAAAATTAATTAAAAAATATGTAAGAGATAATGCCACAGGTGTATTTCTACTAAAGAACAAGGAAAAAAAGGCACACACTGATGATTTATTTTTTGGCCTTGACTCATTCGTTTTAAATAGGTTGTTTATTTTTACTGGTGTCATTGACAGATAAGACTAAAGGGGGACATGAGAAGGGAAGGATTACGGGAAACTTGAGAGAAAGGAGGACAACAGACAAATAGGAGTTAGAAAAAAAGAGGCAGAGGACTATTTGGAGATGAAAAAAGACTGGCAGCAGAGGCGCTGCTTAATTTTCAGTTTTATTTGTAGAGAGCCTTGTGAATGACATAAAATGATCAGATATTCTTGAATGACTTGACACCTGAGTTTTGGGTTTGACAAATCTCACAAACACTGATTCCAGGGTTTTCTACGATGGCACTATCAACAAATCCCTCCAAGAGCCTTTTTAATTCAGCCCCTATTGTACATCCACAGGAAAGGGAATTTCTTTGTGTACTAAGTGATTTCCATGTTGTGAGCCTGCTTGTCTTCAGTTACCTCCAGTTTTATGCTTTAGAAAACTCACATAGCGTTCAAAAAGGAAGACTTAAAGCAATATAGACTTTTGTGCCTTTTATAAAGAATCAGGATTGTGTGCCCCTAGCAATATAGCGATATATTATATAAGGTCAATACTTCTTTTCATATGCCTCTAATACAGACTCATTTTATGAGGTAGAACAGCAAACACTGAATCATTCTGGTACAGATACACAAAACAGGTAATTATAGCTAGTTGCAGAAAAACAATTATGCAGTTGGGTGATGAAAACCAGTTTTTACAGGGAGGGGTGATTCTATCAAAAAAAATAGCATATGGAAAAGCTAAATGTTGTGCTCTGGGAAAGAAGCCGTTCTATAAAACTTCCTAATGCAACTGTATCATCAAGGAGAGGTGCATACTTTGTTTTTTATTATACCACATTGTACACTAGATGGAATATACAGTAAGCTGGTGTGCCAGGCACATATAATTACTGCTATTTTCTGTTGACTTTTCTTTCTTAAGTGACCATTTTCTCTATTATCAATTCATCTAATATTGTAGCAAGAATACCCTTTATTGTCACTTAATGCTTACCAGGTAGTCCTTGATTATGATTAAATAGACACCTTGGATCGCTGGCAATTCTTATTTGGAGTCAGCTATTATTATCATAAATGTTACTGCATATTCTACATGCTAAGATATAGAAAATAGCATTTAATATAGAAAAAAGGCTTATGGGTCTTTGTTTGTAATGCAGCTGATTTTTAGGTACACCATAGAGGGCATCAGTGAAATGTGTACATTTCCACAGAAGGCATTTATCTCAAATATCAACAGTGTTCACTCTTCTCTTACACATAGCTAACCCCACTGAAGGCAAGAGGATTTTGTTTCCTTACTGTTAAGCATGGCTGTTCTGGGCCCTTTAGCTAAATTTACCACCATGAATGAGCAGAAACAGCAAGTGCAGCTACATTTAGGCTTACATCAGCGTTTCTGTTTAACACATTTTAAAACTACATTTAAAGAACGTGGAGGTTTTGACGTGAAGTGACAAAACGCAGGCGTGTGAGCTGGATGAGACGCTTTTCAGCTAGGCTTACCGGGCCAGCACGGCGGAGGATATGGTCTAAAGGAAAGAGTTTGGCTTATCTTAGAGTTTTCAGAAGTGTGACAGCTCTTTTTTAAGTCAGTGTTAAACACATCGTATCCATATAACGAATGGCAGGTGTGGCCAGCAAAGAAGCCCGTGAGACTGGGGCAGGTTTCCTTCCTGGTCCTTTCGGTTGCTTCTGGCTGCTGCCTTCTCCTTTCAGCCAAACACTGGGCTCCATACACTGGAAGATGAAAAGAATATGCAAGTCGGACCACCTCTGGGACGGTTTCCAGGCTTGGTTACAAGGGAAATGTAACTTTTCTGAATTCAGTCCTTTGAGTTACTAAACTCTGAAACTGATTCAGTGATTTGGGGCTAGAAAAGAATTGATCAAGATAGAAACTTTAAAAATCCATTTTATTATATGACGGTCCGTGTAAACAAATGATGAGAGCATCTGCAGTGAATATATATATTCACATATGTATATCCACTACACATATATCTATGCATTCTTATATAGTAGAGAAACTGCAGTGCACCTATTAAGGGCTCTATATTCATTTCAACTTAGTTACTCTCCCTAATGTCTTTGGGACACATCAATTATAAGTCTATCTTTATCTCTTCATTTTACAACCAGTTGTAGAACTTGATAGTAAACATACATGTTGGTGTGATATGTCATGTGTATTGTCACTCATAATTTATTCTTTGTGCTGTATTCTAAATGTTTTAGTAAACTAATATTTTCTCTCAATAATTTTAATGATGCAGTATAGCTCAAGATAAATTCTGAAATTATATCTATTAGAGTTTCCATAGACATAAGTACTCATACCTTTTTGTTATTTTGCAAGTAATTTAAATTTTTTAAAGATAATGTTTTCTTTTAGAGAACCTCAATATCCTTGATTGAACAGGACAAGAAAATAAATATATTTGTTGCCAATCTCAAGCACTTATTTTGGTTTAGGGTAGACTTGTGAATGTTATGGTCATTTAATATTAATAATTATTCTCCTTAATAAGTGGGTATACTCTTTTTGAGAATTTGGGTTTTTTAATTCTAATGTTAAGGTTAGTGTGATTAAATACTTTGAGTTCTTAAATATTCGTTTAAATATTCTAACAAACCCAAGTTAAATGCTTTTAAAAGTTCTTCTAAAACCATTGTCAATTGTATTTTGTAAAATCTGCTTCAAAAATTAGTCTACCACTGTGAAAGAAATGCTCTTTAATACAGAGATGAAAAAAGGGTGGAAGGAGGTGGAAGGAGGATTCTGGAGGAGAAAAATGTCAAGTGAATCAATATGATTAATTGAATTAAATGTAGATTCATAAAACTCATATTCGCACATTTATACAATGCATTCACAGTGACATTTAAAATATGTTTTGAAAATCCCTAAATAAAGTCTCCTGTACATGAAGACATTTTTCATCTTTAAAAAATAAAAAAAGTTAACGACATAATAGAATCATATAACTTTACTGCTACGTACTATACATTTCAATAGTTTAACAGGAAAACAGAACAAATTTTAGTTTGTACATGTTTAAAGGACATCATGTCTACTTTTGCTGCAGTCTGAGATGTGTAGGCTCAAGACTATAGATAATCTGGACTACAAATATAACATAGATAACTTTTCACTTCATATCAAGGTCATTTTAGGGTTAATCCATCACATTTACAACTCTGTGCTGCTCTTCTGCTGGGTCACTAAATTGTTAAAACTTCACAAATCAAATACATCTAAGACCAAATGTTAATTTTTACAAGTTGTGAAATATGACGTGGAGGAAAAGCACTGACTCTTAGGGTTCTGAAATATAGCATCTTTTAAAAATGTGGTTGCACAAAGTTAAAAATGATGCCTTAAACCTACTTGTAGAATTAGCATCTGTAAATGATAAAAATGACAACAGGATCTAAACATGGCACAACACCTGAAATAAGAGAATTCAAGATGCTATCCAGATTCATGCAGAACTGCACTGCTATGATTTGCATGCAAGTCAATTTAACTCAAGAAAATTAATAGTCATTAGAATATTAATTTTGAGTTGTTTGTGATTACTCTCCCTCAAGCCTATTCTTGTTAGCGTTTTTTCCTCCAATCTGTGTATTTCATATAAATATAAAGCCTTCTATTCCTGCTTGATGAGAAGTATATTTTACTGTTTTCACAAAAATTCAGTCATGGCTCTTGCTCTTTTAATGAATGACAGTTTTTAATTGTTTTAAAAAAGAAAGGTTCCAAGATAAAGATTTTACATCACTGACAAAATGGAAGAAAACTGAGAGAAGATTTCCTTTAGTAGCCTGCTATTGATGATGAAAAACAAGGAGACAAATGCAATTGGTAAAACAAACCCTAAGAAAGTTTCAAGTATCTCAACTAGGGGACATCTTCTTAGTTGTAAATAGCTCAATTTTATTTCTGGAACCTAAAATATGGATCCCTGCCCCCTCCCAACTCCAATCTTGCTTCCAGTTTCCAAACTTCAGGCTCATCAAAGTAAACAAGCTATGGTCAGGAGAGAAAATCCAGCTAAGGCCGGAGGGCTGCTGCCACCTCCCTCTCTGCTCACACAATTCTGTGCCAATAGCTATTGGGAAGGAAAGAAAGGGCTGCCACTGTGGCGCGTGGAAGTAAAGGGGCAGAGGGGCATCACTTCAATCTCTGGGCTGAGGCTCTTTCTCACTCGTGTCTCCAGAGAAAAGAGATGCTCTTCATTCACAAAACAAAACAAGAAAATCTCTATAATTATTTTTGGCTCAGCTCCATTGAAATTCATTCTCCTGGAAGCTTCTCTGTTTTAGATTAAAACAATGCTTAGAATATTCATTCTCTGTTCCCCTTTCTTTTTTTGCACTCACTACCCTTGTGTGCCACCCCCACCCCACACTCTGCCCCGTTTTCCTCTTGTGTTCTCTATTTCTCAGTCTTGGTTGCTTTTGCTCTCTGCCTCTGTCTTTGATGATAGTTTTTTCTTTACCAAACCAACGTTGGGCCTCTAAGTCCCTACCCACGGTCTCCATGTTTAGGGACAGTAGTTCATCTCACACCCCTCTACCAAAGAGAACATTTCTCCCATCCTGTATCACTGATCACACTACAGGACTGTTAATTTGCTGATAGGATGCTTCCAGCCAGTAAACATAATTTCTCATCTTACCCTGTTGAGGAAAATCAGAAATACAGTTCTCCTTCTTTTTCTTCTAGCCTTCTCTTCAATTTCCAGTGCTCAATAGAGGAATAAAAATCATTATCCATAGTGGAGGGCAGTTATTAAATCGCAGCAGAAAGGCACTGAAAATTATTTTAAAAATCTAAATTCCATGATTTAGTCACTATCAAAATTTAGTGTATGAAACAAGACCGTAATTATTATAGGCATGTTTTTTTTTTCTGTCACCAACTTTAACTTGTCTTTCTTCACCTAAGGTAAAAACTTTTGCTATTTTCCTTTTTGTTAACAGAAAACAATTTCAGCAAATAGAATTCCTTTTCCAAATAAAGTTTGTGTATATATTTTTAACATAAGTTCTCTATGCCTTAAAATACAGCATCTCCTCTCCTGGATCATGGTATTCATTTTGGAGCCTAATACAAAGCAAGAGTTTTATTTACAATGACTTACACTTTATGGAATTCCAGTTTCTTACACCTTTCAATTCTTGGTGACCTTAGGCAAAAGCTGCTGACAAATCTTTCATAGAAAGAGGAAGTGGGTCTGAAACCAACTTTCATTAGCATTAATGTGTTTCTCTATTTCTCACTTTCTAATTGGAATAATTAATTTGTATTCATTTCAAATTCTTGATTGTTAGTGAAAGGATCAACCTTGGTACCCATCATGCGCAGAGTGTGGAACCAATTTAGGGGTGCCTTCCTGTTCCCCGGAACAAGGACTGCTTTATGTGGATACACTATTCATTTTTGAGTAACCCCATCCCTCCTGCCCTCTTCTGACATACACACACACACAAATCCTGACACTTGCTTAGATGTGAAGTGAGTTCTCTGGGATTTCTTTGCCCTATAACACTAAAGCAATTTTATAACTATATATTTAAAAGTTTTGGAATCTATTTCTAAAAGTCTATAAGCACCCTGATTAGACCCCATTTGGTTTACCAAATAAAGAGAGGGAAAGAAAAGAAAAAAAGGAAAATTAACTACTGTTAATTACACCGTAAACATTTAATAAATATTCTTTCTTTCTATCCTTTGCCCTTTTCAAAAGGAAAGGTGGTAATTTGTATGTACGCTGCCTCTTTCCTCCCACTGTTTTATTTCTTTTCTTTCTGGATTTCTTTCACTGCAGTAGAAAAGAGGTGGACATGTTTAAGAAGATAGAAATGTTTACCTAGTACATTTTCTTCATAGAAAGAAACAGCTGAAGCACCTTCCAGTTTGTCTTCTAACCTTTGTTCCATCCCTAATCTGAAAGCTGCCTTTTAATTACAAAATATTGTAAAGGGAATACAGTAGGAACACATAACCCTGGCTTCTTAGCCAAATGAGAAGAAGTTTAATAGTAATGTATGGCTGCAGGAGTGGTTATGTTTGGGATCCATATGCATGTTCAGTTCGCACATTCAGGCAGTGCAATAAAGCAGGGAAAAACAGCTGATACACAAAGAGACTGTCTAGACGGTACCCCATCAGTCTGACTAAATTTGGTGCTGGCATTCCCAGTGGGATTGTAATATAATTGTTCTGGTGTCTGCGTTCATTCCCCCTGTCAAACACCATTCCAAATATACATCCTTCTCCCCAACCCTTCTTCTTCTTCCACAAATATGAAGCCCAAACCATGCCATGCTGGAGAGGGCGTTAGATGGCTCAAGCCCAAGAAAATGTTATCATTTAGCAAAATTGTGTTGTTCACTTCCTTTTGAAAATCCCCCTGCTACTTCGTAATTCCAAATGGAATTAATCTCAAGCAATTTTTAATAATTTAAACTAAGACCATGGAAAAAATTTAAATGCAAATATACACCACCTGAAAATGAGCACCTTAGATGAAAGCAAATAGGCCTTTTTACTCCTTTGTATCTATTAACCTCTGTTAGAAAATTTAACAGAAATCAGAGAGGTGAAAGTGTGTTGAGGAGAGAGCTCATAAATTCTAATGAAGAAGGGCTAACGGAAACAATGGTAAGCAAAAGCATTGAAAAAATGCAGATTGTCTATGTTTTTCATTTTTGAGTTTAAGCTATAATTT